ATATTTGCAAATGACACAACCAACAAGGGACTAATTTCCAAAATATATGAACAGCTCATACAGTTTAAAATAAAAAACCAAACAACTCAGTCAAAAATGGGCAGAAGACCTAAAGAGACATTTTTCCAAAGAAGACATCCAGATGGCCAACAGGCACATGAAAAGATGCTCAATATCACTAATTATTAGAGAAAAGCAAATCAAAACTACAATAAGGTACCATCTCACACCAGTCAGAATGGCCATCATTAAAAAGTCTACAGATAATAAACGCTGGAGAGGGTGTGGAGAAAAAGGAACCTTCCTACACTGTTGGTAAGAATGTAAACTGGTGCAGCCACCATGGAGGATAGCATGGAGGTTCCTTAAAAAACTAAAAATAGACTTACCATAAGATTCAGCAATCCCACTCTTGGGTATATATCCAGAGAAAACTATAATTCAAGAAGACACATGCACCCCACTGTTCATAGCAGCACTGTTTACAATAGCCAAGACATGGAAGCAACCTAAATGTCCATCAACAGATGACTGGATAGAGAAGCTGTGGTATATTTATACAATGGAATACTACTCAGCCATAAAAAGGAATAAAATAATGCCATTTGCAGCAACATGGATGGACCTAGAGAATGTCATTCTAAGCGAAGTAAGCCAGAAAAAGAAAGAAAAATACCATATGATATTACATATATGTGGAATCCAAAAAAAAATGATGCAAATTCTATTTATGGACCAAAAACAGACTCACAGACAGAAAACAAACTATGGTTACCAAACGGAAAAGAGCAGGGAGGCGTAAATTCGGGGTTGGGGATTAACAGACACATATTACTGTATATAAAATAGATAAACACAAGGACCTACTGTATAGCACAAGGAACTATAGTCAATGTCCTGTAATAACATATAATGGAAAAGAATATGAAAAGAAAATATATATGTATACATATGTACAACTAAATCACTTTGCTGTATACCTGGAACTAACACTGTATATCAACTACATTTCAACTTTTTTAAAAAAAGATGCTTTATACTGAGTTCCAATTGACCTTCCACGGCAAAAGCTCCTAACTGTTCAGCTCTGAGTCTCTGTTACTAATTGTCAGCAGGAACTGCGAGCCTGGGCTGCCTGTCCCCCAGCCACCTGCTCAGCCAACTCCGAGGTTCTCAGGACTGGGCACATCTATGGGATATTCTTTGTCCAAAGAGCTTGTGTTTGTACAAGATGATGTACAAAGATTCTGAAATCTTCCTAAAATTTCTTTTTACATATTTCTTCCAAAGGTCTCTTTCCCAATGTTCTTAACAGCTTTTTAAAAATTATGCTGGACTTCTCTCCTGTCCCTGCCACATGACATGGCATTGCTCAGTCATTTTCCCTTGGATCCTTCTAAAAAGGATTGTTGGGGGGAAAAAAGAAAAGAAGCTCCTGGGTGGTCCTGGCCTTTTGAGGACCTGTCTTATCTGAGATACAAAAAGAAGGTCTTCCTCCTGCCTGGGGCCAGCTGCTGCTGGCGCTTCCTAACTCCCTTCTCCCAGGTCGGGTCACTGAAGCATTCTCACCTCCAGTTCCTCCTGCCTCTGCTCTTTCTGGCCAAATCCACGAGGTGGCCTAACCACAGGCAGAAAGAGGCTGCCCTCTAGGGCTGATAAGGTCCAATCCCAAAGCCAGGGCTGCATCAGGGCCCAGTAATGCCGAGGAGAGGAGAGTCGGGGCTCAGTTCGAGGATCAAGTCCTGCCCTGACTGGCCACTTGACCAAGTTTTGTCACCTCTGTGAGCCTCGGTGGCGTAACACTTTGCAGGGTTGTTGAAGATGAAATGGGACGACGAATGCAGGGCCCTGGTACATGCATGGTGCACCCTAATCCATAATTATAATGGGGAGCTTACCCGGGACCCACCGGCCTAGCAGCACGAGGGACCAACCACAGATGTGGGCCTATTTCAGGGAGGTGGAACCGCTGCTCTAAGATGCTAAGCTTTGGATGCCCAGGGCTTGGTCCTTTGACCTCTTCTCTATCTTTCCTTCCCCTGTGGAATCTCCTCTTGAATTGTGGCTTGGAACCACCATGTGCCCTTGACCTCAGACGTGAAGCTCCAGCCCAGCCTCTAACATGAACTCCGCTTCCCCAGTAGAATGCAAATTTCATGGTGACAGGAAGGTGGTTTTGTTTTCATCCCGCCTTCAGCACCTAGAACAGCACCTGGATCACACAGGGGCTCAGTAAACACTGAGTGAACCGTGGAATGCTATCAGTTGAACTTAAAACTCCTTTAAGAACCACGAGTTAGGAAAAATCAAACAACTGGTAGTATTCAGGTTAAACCATCTGGTTTTATCCGTAAGAAAAGAATGGGAGGTTTTATAGCTCGTCAGCAACTCTTTCGGGGCCCTGGAGTCTGGTTCCCTCATTGAGTCTCAGGCACTGAGCTCTGGGTGCCTTATTCCTGTGCAGCGCTGGGCTCAGAAGCAAGAGTTCTGGGTTTGAATCCTGCCTCAGGCACTTTCTAACCATGTGACCTTGGGTAAGAGCGACTCACATTATCTGTGCCTCAGTTTCTTCCTCTGCAGAGTCAGGAGGGTAGGAAGGTAGCCAAGCAGCCCACAGGTCCTTAAGGTGGGACCTGAAATAAGCTGGGGGCTGAGAAATTGGTTTACGCGCCAGCAGTGGGAAGCTCCTGGTGCTTACCTGCACATTTTTGTGGTAGAATTAAAAAGTTTCACTTTGTAGCCACTGTTGCAAACGAGCAGGAAGAGCTCCTTGGTGAGTGGCGGGTACCAGACCATGCAGGTGGGGTAGCTGCCCTGGTCAGTTCGGTGGATGTCCAGGACTTCCAGGTGGTCTCTGTAGCTCTTGGGAAGGTTATACTCGATCTGCAGAGAAGCCCGGACGGACACACGTGAGGACTGAGGTGAATGCAGTCAGCCAACAGTCCTATTCTGGGGGGGGACAGTATCAGGCGTCCTAAGAGGAGACTTGCCTAAATCCTACACTTACTAAGCTGCCATCACGGAGCATTTGTTACGAGCAGGATGCTGATCTAAGTGCTCCAAAGACATCATGCCATTTAATACCCACGACTGCCCTGCAAACTAGTGCTGCTGTGCAGATGCGAAAACCAGTGTTGGGAGAGGTTCCGTGGCATGCCCGTGGTCACACAGCTAAGAAGTTGCAGGGTGAAAATTCAAACCTAGGTCCGACTAGCTCCAAAACCTGAACTCTTACAGTTACGTGGCACTGCTTCACTCTCCATTAGCTTGGGAACATTCCCCTGACCCTTGGGAACTTTTTGAGGGTACAAACTAATTCCTATTTATCTAAATCCCAGTGCTTGATAGTCAGAAATTAGCAGCCCGCTGAGTTTCACCCATAGGTATGTTTTGATGGCCAGACCAGGATGGATGCATGGAAGGAAGGGTGGATAGACGATGAATGGATGGAAGGAAGGATGGGTAGAACAAAAGCAGTAAGGGGCAGGAAGGAAGGAAGTTGAGATGGATACACAGATAAACCGACTGATTGATTTTTGAATCCTTTTGGCTCAATCATGTAATATTGCACTTGCCACTGTCACTACCTCTCCCTCGGATCTCACACCCTCTCTGAGCTGTCACTTTGAGGTAACAGCCTGGCCCTGACCCCTGGACACACAGAAAGTGTGAGTATTGGCTTCCGAATATGCACTGAGAGGCGAGAGTGGCTGAGTTGTCCATCGCCATCCAAGTGCCACTTCTCAGGAGCCTTTATGCTCAGGACACCAGTCCCCATGTGGTGGCAGAGCCGCGTTAAGGCCAACTGCCAACTCGGAGAGGTATGCTACTTTATCGTATATTCATTTTCTCCAACAAGCACATGAACTGTGCGCCTGGTTTTGTGCCAGACGCCAGGGATGTCACGAGAATGAGGCCCGGTCCTCGTGACCAGGCGGAGAAAAACTAAACGGCTCACCAAGAGTCTGTCTCTCCCGAGGCTCAGCAGTCTGGGCTCATTGCTGTCCAGATGAACCCCGAACAGGACACTTCGAATGCTCTTGCGATGAGAACGAAGTCTCGCCAGATATTCCCAGACCCTTCGTCCATTTTTGACTCTCAGCACGTAAACAGCCACGGTGAAAAGTACATCCTGCAGCCAAGCGCAAGGGCAGCGCTTATTCCTTTTCCAGGGTTGTAGCTGAAGAATCATCACTATGTTTTTCATACTCACTTTGCTCCCGGAGTATTTTATCCAAAAAGCAAATCTTCACCTACTGGAACAAGTAGTGAACTAATGCCCATTTTACAGATGAGAAAACTGAGGTTAAAAGTAGGTAGTGGGAGGGAGTTGGTATTTCTCTGACGCTGTGGTCTTATTCTCCCGACTTCATTCTCTGCTGAGAACTGAAACCCTGACTCTTTTGGCCTTTGTCCTCCCTTCTCTTTATCTAGTTACACAAAATTAAAAAGGTATGATTTTTTGAAAAAAGAAAAAAGTATGATGGCTGAGACTGAAAGGGTCAGAGTGGGTGGAAGCAGCCTGAGGGGACACAGGGATGCCTGAGTCAGTGTGCTGGTGGGACATGGGACATGGGAGGTGGGGGGACTGTTTGGGCCTTTAAAACCACTGCTTCCCCCCAACCTGACTCTGTCCCCCCACATCGGGCAAGATGAGCCCATGCAGATGACAGAACTGGCAGGAAGAAAGAGGTTACGGGTCTCGGGAAATCTTTACTGAGATTAAGAGCCCTATTCACAGAGAGAAGGAACAGAATCCAAAATGCTTGGTAAAGACTCTGCTTTGAGATAAATGAGAATGTCATCTTGTCAAAAATCAAAGGGAGAGGTGAAAACCCGGGTGCAGAGCAAGGGTTCCAAAAACTGACAAACCCAGACAAGCCGTCAGAGTAGCAGGATCCAAGTCTGGGAGCTCTGAGGCCCTGTTCTTGTTTTCAGGCAGAAGTCCCCCTCCAGCTCCCCCCATCCTGTTCTCTTAAAAATGGCTTTATCAAGATAAAATTCACACCCTACACGATTCACCATCTAAAATGAACAATTCAGTGAGTTTTAGCATATTCACAGAGGTGTGTGTCCATCATCACAGTTTTAGAGCGTCTCATCGCCCCAGAAAGAAACCCTGTACCCTTTAGCCGCCACGCCCCACCCACCATCCCCAGCCCCTCTCTCTTTGTGGCTTTAAATAAGGTTGCTAAACCGCTGGGCGGTGGAAACACTCACGGCAGTTGCCATGTACTTGGAGTCGTGGGAGAAGCTGATGTGGGTCACGCTGCTTCTGGAATATTTGAAAGGCTCTGGGATTTCACTCTCTAAGGACATTGCGTCAAGAATGTAAACTGTCCCCTCCGTGAAGCCAGCTCCAAGAAGAGTCCCTGAAATCACAAGCCGGAGAACGGTGATCGAAAAGGGCTTTATTCATTCAATAAACACCGACTCCGTGCCGGGCCCTGTTCTGGGCGCCGAGCAGACAGCAGTGAACTCGACCCACCGGCAGTTCACTACGAAAAGCCTGGCACGGCGACAGGAGACCAGGCAGCGCAGGGATCTGCAGGGACCGGAGGGAGAAAGCGTCCCATCAGGCGGGGGAGCGGGGCCCAGGTGAGCCTCCCAGGGCTGGGACAGCCAAGGGAAAAGCCATTTGGGTCTGTTTTCGATTTGACACCTAAGATGGACTGATACAAGGAAAGTACCTTCTGGGTTGTAGGTCAGACTCTGGACTCCAAGCCCTTTCTCAAAGACCCTGCTGAAGAGGTATTTTTTCTTTTCATAATCCCACACTTTGATCATCCCACAGAAGCTCCCAATGGCGATGAGGGGCTGATACGGGTGGCAGGAGATGGCACAAATGGCATCCTTGGGCTCTACAAATAACTTCTCGAGTTTGGTCCCATCCGTCGTCAAGTGGTACACTGACGCATCCGCTGTCCCAATGATAAGATTCCTGTTTGCCAAGGGGAGACCGAACAGCATCAGTGTTTGCAGGGAATGGGGCACGCCAGCCATTCTGCTTCTAATTGCACATGAAACGCCTCTGTCGTCTGTAATTTAGTGACATTATTAACCCCGCATCTCCGAAAATATACTACCAATACCCAACAGCCTCCATTTGCAAGTGAAAAAGCCCACATTTCTACATGTAAATTGAGTCATTAAGTATGCAGATGGACAGTCAGTTGTACAATTAGCTAATCTGCACATGCAAATATTCATTTGTGTATGCAAATATGGAGTTTGGTGCACACATACAGATGTGTCTGCAAATACTGCAAGGGTAATTAAGCAGACTCACAGATAATTCAGTCTTGAAATGTTATGGCTATTAATTATCAAATGCCTTTAACCGGAGTGCTAGGGCAAACTCAGCCACAGAAAAAGGGACCAACCTACAGCGAAGGACTCCAGTTTACAGCCCGGGGACAAGCCCTTTCCAGCTTCCCATCACTAAACATCCTTGATATGAGAATGACGTTTCATTTTTAAAAATGATTAAACAGTGATTGTAATCAGTCAAGGAGATCCATCTGCAAACCAGGTAAAGGACAGACCTGGAAGGCTAGTTCCCTCTCTTATCCCAGGAACAGGAAGGAGGTCCTGCTTTACACAAACCAAGAGAAGACATCAATCACTTTTTAACCCTTCAGATGACAAGATGCATTGACAACTTACCTTACAATAAAAGAGTTGCCTTTTAAAGTGCAGTCTGGAGGGTAGTTTGTGTTTTCGGTGGGAGGACAGGCCGGGGTCTTTGAAAAGGACAGGGTCCTTATGGAGCTCAGTTTGAAGTGGCTGTACCAGTTAACAATGGACAGGGTACGATCATAGAACTTGATGTTACCCCCAATGTCGCCTGTGACAATATAGCTGAAACAGAGAGGATCCTCAGTTTGTTAAACAACGGTAAGGAATGCCACCTAATGAACACCCAATTATACGTCGACCTCTGGGCCCCGGGAGTGGCAGAAACTTCACCCGGTACTGCCCGATGTGTCTGGTTTTACTGTCAGCCCACTTTATGTCCAGCACACTAAGGCTCAAGGCCTGGGTTTGCCAGATTCAGCAAATAAAAACACAGGCTGCCCAGCTAAATTTGAATCTCAGTCTTTTAGTACAAGGATGTCCCAAATACTGCATGAGACATACATACTTAAACCTGGCAACCCTCTCAGGGCCACGAGGCTAGACTAAGCAGGGGTCCAGGTGCATCGA